ATCAGTCCAAACCAAGGCAGAGTTCTCACTTTCTCCTTCTGGGGTAATATCAATCAAAGAGAAAGAAAGTCCAAATCTGTTTAAAATCTTATTACAATATATTCTAGTCTTCAAATCCTTAAGGCATCTGCTCCAACAAATCTTAGCATACAAATATTTTCTTCTTAATCCTCTCTCTTCCCACTCATCGCTTAAAACCAATTTCCACCTAAAAAAATAGGTTTCTTAATATCCAGTTATTTATTCCGTAGGAAAAGAGGGAAAGCTATCCTTTCAGCACCTTCAAGCAGCCGCTTTTTTCCTCTTCTGGCAGGTATTATTCAGAGAATCATACTTTTCAGGAATTTTATTAAATATGTCTTAGAGTCCTAGGAGCCAAGAAAAACTTTCTCCTCTCAATCACTTTCTCCACTTCCTCCTGCGCATTCTTACCCGGCTGCCAGCTTCTTTGTGGCGGCCATTACGGACCGCCGCTGCACCGTCCTGGGAAAAGGGAGTTCTGCCGGCCAGGGAGGGAGTCTGCAGCACCCCCAAACCCTTCTCCGGATCCCCCCTACTTCAGCTGCCCCTGCAGGGCAGCCTAGCTCCGTACCCGGCTGGGTCGGAGCCCCAAAAACGGCTAGCGCGGCAGGGATCGCGCAGCTTCGCAAATCCCTGCCGCTCGCGAAGCCGACAAACCGGAAGTTTTCCAGTCAGAAAATACTTATGTCACATAATATTAAGCAGAGGGGAAAGATTAGGTCACTCTGCAGTTCAGAACCTCAACCAGCTATGTTTATCTAGAAATGGAAAAGAGGAGGTGGATTAGCAGAAATGGCTAAATTGATCTGCCTGGCCAGGGGTAAAACAAGTCATTTTATACAAGACTGGAAAGCTTTTATGGACTTTTTTCCCCTCTGAAAATGGAAAAAAAAAAAAGAATGAAATGGTGATTTCTGGATTTGCTGATTGAGAAAAGGGTTGAGTATGGGACAGGGATTTTTGTAATGTAATTTTAAAGAGGGAGTAATGCTAATTAAGTTTGTAGCTGCTGCAAAGAAGATTGGAAATCGCTTCTTTAATTATACTTTTTCTAGCTGCACTGTTTTTTAAACTTTTTCTTTTACCTTCTATTTTCTAACTTATTTATATATTTTCATGTTTATCTTTTAGCTATGTTAAATCTTCATAAAATTTATACCTTTTTATTTTTTTTAAAAAAAGCATAGGTGGGAGGGTCCAAGTTTAATATTTCTGGATGTAAATGAACTTGCTAAATCTACAAAGGAATGCAATTAGGAAATCAAGACTAGATTCTTAACAAAAGTAACTTGCTTGCTTTTATGTCTGGCTTTTTGAATAAAAGGAAAAATAACCTGAAATAGTTAATACTGAGTTCATCTGTAAAATCTTGAGAATCTACAGTAAGCCCTTGTGACAAAGCAGTTTACTATCAAGAGTCTGCCAGGATAGTAACAACGCTAAGTAATAAAACTATTTTCTTCCCTAAGCATTAATGTCAGGAATTTATCTCTTTCAAATACCATTAAGTTAAGGAAGCTAGGCTGAACGAAATGGTGCAGTTCTATTGGCAGAATAATATACTAGGTAGTTTTTGATTTACGACCACAATTGAGCCCAAAAATTATGTTTATAAATGAGAAATCTGTTGTGAGTTTTGCGTCATTTTATGATTTTTCTTGTCGTATTTGTTAAGTGAATCACTGCAGTTGTGAGATTAGTAACACAGTTGTTAAATGAATCTGGCTTTCCCACTGACTTTGCTTATCAGAAGGTCACAAAATGTGACAAGACCCTGGGACAATGCAACTGTCACAAATATGAATCAGTTGTCAAGCATCCTATTCTAAATCACATGACCACGGGGATGCTGCAATGGTCAAAAGTGTGAAAAATGGCCTTAAGTCATTTTTTCAGAGCTGTTGCAAATTTGAACAGTCACTAAATGAACTGTTATAAGTCAAGGACTATATTTACAGCAGCACAACACATTTCTCTTCATGCCTGTGCTTTCAAAAGATTGAGAGATAGTAGGGTACCAATACAGGTCTCAAATATGAATGGGGGGGGGGGGGATTCTGTTTGTGTAATGTCAGATACCACCATTCTCACTACAAGTCAAACTCAAGAGCCTTAACAAAACTTTAGTTTGCTCAGGTAGTTCTTTTCTTATATCAAAACTGTGCCGTTATATATTGTGTATTGCAGTTCCCAATAAAAAATGGTTCCCTGGAACTGCTAGAATTTAATCAAAAGGTTAACTAACTCATCAATAACTACTTTACAAATGCAATTATCTTGGGTATCTCCCTTAGTTTGATGCATTTTTTAATATAACCACCTGATAACTTTCAATATCATCTCACTTTCATAATTTTCTATCTTGTTCCCATTTGTCCAACCCAGTTGTCTTTTAACAGCAGCAGTGAAAAATAGATGAAAAGAGACCCATCTCTGCATTTCAAGCTCCTAGTCAAAAACAGCATGTTCCCTAGCAAATTATTCTACAGGGCAATTTAATCTGTTTTAGAGTACTTTTACTGAAAAAATACGCATCACGCTCCAGTCAGAGCCCTGTTTTATCTGCTACAGTATGTGCTGGCAGTTCCATTTCTAAGTACTGTTAAGTAACACAGTAAATATGTATCTTATAAAAAAAATCAGATAGAATTTTTAAAATTGACATTTATGTTATCCTTAGTGAATGATATGGAATATGTGGATGACCTTGAGGGACAAGGGAAAGAGATGCTGGCTAGGGAACAATCAGACAGGAGAGAAGGAAGCCTACAGTCACTTAACACTCAGAGAAAGAAACTTAGGGGGGGGGGGGAAACACCCTAAAAGTGGTGAGGGAAAGTTTGTAACTTCAAACTTACACAATTCTGTTAATATAGTCTTATGACAAGACTTCATTAAAGTAGATTTAGTACACTTAATTGTGTTTCCTGTCTAGTTTGCCATGGAGGTCTCATAGTCACCAGCTACGGCAGTATTTTTTTTTATTTTTTTTTGGTGTCGGGTGATAAAATGGTATGGTGTGAGATATTATATGGCTTTTATATATGAGACTGAAATTCAACTACAGATATGCATTAGCCGTTCAGATATATGTCTAAATTAATTACATTATTTAACTGTACATTAATCTTTTTGTGTTTTTACCGCGCAACCATCAAATGGGAAACCATTTTTAAATTTTTTTTTGAAAATTATCATATAGTTTAGATGCAATATACAAATGTCACAGGTTTAGTTTTTCTGAACACATTCATTCAACCGCATAAAAAGCACATACTGAAGATTTGTGACTGAAGATTTACATGGTAGTGATTTGCTTCCAATACACTTATGCTACCAGCATTTCTTTCCCTACCACTATCCTGCCATCAAATATAATCCCTCACTGATTCGTAAGGAATACGTTAAAATGCACATTATTATAAGGTTGCATAATACTTCAGACTGAAAGGCAAAAAGGTGACTTGGAGCATGCAGAGGCATCAATGTACCACCTGTCTGCAACCGCTAAAACCAAATATATCTGTTCCCAAGACTGTTCAGCAGCTGCAGGGAGCAGACATGCAATCCCAGAAAAAGACACAGCTGCTTTGAGTTGCAGACAAGTGCTATATAAGGAGCCCGCCCACTCCAAAGCACTCCCTTGCCTTTGAATCCAAAGCATGGGCACAGACCTATATTATAATACAAGAATGACCTTGTGGGTTTTGAAAAATGGCTTGTGAAAGTATATCAATTTTTGTTTAAGAAACACAAAACGTGAAAGTATACAAAAAACAATTTATAAAGACTATCTCATGCTTTCAGTATAGCACAGGGACAAATATGAATTCAAATAAACTATAATATACAGGATACCAAAGACATTTAATCATTGCTCCTTTCACAAAAGGGCCTTGGATCATAAATATTTAAAGGGGGAAATAGTTATATGACTGTCCCCTTGTAACGGCTCCTTCTAAAAGACAGGGACTTAATTTAACAAATAAGTAAAAAGGAACCTGTGGGTCTATGTAAATATAATTTATGTATATTTATTTATAAATATTTATTTTGCTAACATATTATACTATCTTTTACTATATACATATAGTCTTCTGTATGTTGAATTAGAAAACAATGGCTTGGAGACTAAAATCCATGGAAACACAGTCTTATTAGTTTTCTGCTCAAACTATATTTTCTCTTGATTGAATTAAGGATGAAGCAATTTCTACCACTTTCACTTATTCCCTATGGTTTCTTTGGATGTGGAATGACTGCTTGGACAGTGAAGTGAAGGGGCAAGAGTCAATAAAGATTAATTTCCCTCTTATGTTCTGGATAAAAATAGTAGAAATGTCTGATCTTTCCTGAATATCACCTCATGATACACAGAAGTTTTCCTTTTATGTTTTTGGAGAAGTTAATATATTTTACTTTTTAACTTTAAAAATAAAGTTATGGTTCATTTGTTCTATGGTAAACTTGTACCTTTTCAAAAGTTGAGTCCAAAATAATTTTATAGGAATTTTTCTCATTTCCTGCAGACATACATATATTTACAATGTAAATTAGGCAAACTGTTTAATTAAAAACTACTTTTAGGGATCTTATTTCTCTTACGCATACAGTTGTGTTTTTAAACACAAGAGATCCCTAAGAGTAGTTTTTGATTTAACAGTTTGCCTCAAGAAGACAATCTCTCCAAGGCAATTAACACCCCCCCACACACAACTTAAGATTCCTTGTCAAGCCAGCTATGTACTTCACAACCAAAATGCCTAATTATTTGGTAATCCTTGAGCAAAAGGGATGGATTTCCATGATGCACTCTTCTCAGTGAGAAAAAGATTTGAAAAATTATATTATACACAGTTCTTATGTAAGAAAGGGCAGTATTATCTTGACCTCCGATTAGTTGAACTTTGAAAGTTCACTTCATTTTGACAGATGAATTTCAAAAGCTAGCAGCTTCAATAAAGATTTATTTCAGATACCTGTTATATCAAGTACTGTAGGAGATGACATGTAGTATCTATGGACAGTTTCTAATAGCCGGGCTCCATGGCCTTCTCCTTGGAATGGAGGCAATATCAGCATTTGGCTACAGGAAGAAGGGGAAAAAAGGTAACTGAAAGCTGTACATTTTACTTTTGAAACTTATTTATAATGATTTGCTATAAATAGGAGTTCGAATACAAGTAACTCTGAGATTATTTCCCATTTTAGATGCAAAGAACAACATCTTAAAAAATGCAAAGCCAACCCAAATCTTGAAGTAAAAAAAATAACCCCCCCCCCCCAAATTAAAACCAAAATTAAAACCATTATTGACTATTATTGGGAATTTCAACAGTCCTCTCTTCTGAAATAAAAGGCAAGGCACGTGTTATGCTTCCAATTACCTTACACGTGGCCGGGTTTTGTCTGGGTACACATAGTAATTATAGACTGTCATATAGCCTACAGTCGCAGAGAGTGTCGCTCCATCCTTATTATACTTCTCAAATCTGCAGATAAAACAGAAAGCCAAGCAGGTCAATTACAGTCGCGCTCCCATGCAGTGTCCATTTTCTTTTCTATTCTGTGACTGAATTTTCAGTGTCAGCAAGCTACTCTGTGCGGGCCCAATGGGTACACCTGCTATGTTCTGAATGTACAATTCACTTAATTGGTGTGCAGCAACTTGGATAAATCAGTCCTCTTTACAGCACTTCACCACACTTGCCTATTATAACGATGAATAGGTGGCAAGTAAAAGAAAACACAGGCAAAGCTCATTTTACTGTTTAAGCCCTACATTCAGAGCTCCAGTGGACAACAGTATTTAATTTGGCTCTATTCTCAAGGTCTTGCGAAACATAATGGATGTAAACTCCAGCTTGATAAACAATAGCTTTTTTTCCTGTCCTGGGAAAAATATCATTATACTGTCCCAATAATTGGCCAGCCACAATTAAAACGCAGCCTTTATGGAGGTAATAAGGTCCACTATTGCTTTAGAATTGTACCTACACTAGAAAGTAGTTCCATCTTTCATCATCCACGTCAATGAAGCTCGCTGTTTCAATAAACCACATCAAGAAGGTCTGAAGCCTTTCATGATACTCTCGAAAGCCCGGGCATGTCATGTCAGCCTAGGGAAAAAGCTAGAAGAAGTCAGGTGAAACTTTTCACAGATGTGAAAAGGGCTCTTAGAAGGGTACATTCAAATTCTTTGGCAGGCAACTATGGGTGCACAAAAAGTGATATGATTCCCAAATAAGTTTTTTTTTTTACATATATTGCAAACAATTAACTGAATGTCATTTAAAAGTTGCCATGAAAACTTGTCACTTTGGGCAAAACATGTCTTCATTTTTTTTACCTTGTATATTTGATATGTTATGTCTTCACCTGCTTCTTCATTATGCACGGAATATGTATGCAATAATATCCCAAACGGCTTAAAATTAACTTCTTTTTCCAGCAGAGATACCAAGTCATCTACACTTCTGCTAAAGCCTGGGGGAATAATTTCTCTAATTTTACTTTCCACATCATCTGCCTGAAAACAAAGAAGGAAAAGCAATGTGAGTGTAAGCTCAGTTATACTGGAAAGTTAAATGTAAACTAATATTTTTCGTATCTACCCCTTGAAGAAATTCCTCTAAAATTCATCAGAAAGTTACGGTATTCTTCCTACTTTAGAGGTTTCACTAAGGGAAACTCTTATTTCCATTTTCAAAAAGATGAGAAACAAAAAAGGCCCAATCATTATATCATCACTGATGCTCAATAATGGCTACTTAAGCAAAACATTTACCATGGCTATGTTGCTTTTTGGTTATTGGAGGACAAAGGATTGTAGTAAAATAGATGAAATGGTTTCCTCAAAATAACACAAACAGAAATAGGTGTCAGCTAGGTCATAAAAGAAAACACTTAGACTTGGACAATATTTCTTCTTAAAAATAATTAAGAAATCCTACAGGTAGTCCTTGCTTACGCACCATTTGTTCAGTGACCGTTCAAAATTATGATGGAGCTGAACAGACTTAAGACCCATGCCCAAATTTACGGCCATTGCAGCACCCTTGTGGTCACATGATTGAAATCTGGGGAGTTGGCAACTTGTCTGCGCTTAAGGTAGGTTGCCAAGCACCCTGCAATCACATGATCACCATGTGAAATTTTCCCTGCTGGCTTCCCCAGGCAGTCAGTGGGGAAGCCAGCAGGGAAGATTGCAAGATGCTGCTGCCTGCCTAGAGAACTCCCTCTGGTTTGTAGGGACTGGCTGAAAAAAATCACAAAATCCAAGCTTGGCTTTCAGGAGGGCTTTTTCACCCAGCCTCAAGACCAATAGCGGGGTCTGACAGATTGGTTTCATCCTTGTGCAGGGAACAGCCTCTCTGTCAAACCGTGTTTTTGCTATCAAGCGTGAAGAAGGTCCCCCACTAAGGAACTTTTTCACCCAGCCTCTTTTAAGAGTCAGAGTGCTACCTACTGGAATTGATTTCACTCGATACATGGTGCAGTCTGTCTGCCAAGCAGTTTTGCTTTCAGGGAGACCCACTGAAAAAGCCCAGGCTAAAATCCAAACAGGATTTTGGCATGGAGCGCTTGCAGCACAGGGTGTTTGCACCCAATCCTCAGAAATGTGGCAACTCCCTCTCATTTGTGGGGGCTGAATCCAAATGCCCAATACTGCAAATGTTTTGTGACAAACTTCTGCTTGGAATTTGTGGCGGTTCCCTTCTGCCCACGAAGGAAAACAAATTGAACTGCTGGGCTGGAGAAAAAAATCTTGGATCATAAAGATCTAAGCTTTTTTTTTCTCCAGTCCAGATCTGCAGTTCCCTTTGGGAGCTGCTGCTCTTTTGCTGTTGTGTCTGCTTAACAATTGCAATGGTGACAGCCAGGATTGCTGTCATTGAGCAAGGCAGTCATGTCTTAACTATCATAACAAGTGACCTACATTTCAGGGTCAGTTATGGTTATAAGTCAAGGAGTACCTATAAATCAAAGTTGCAATAAAAAAACTCAAACCCTTATAGAAAAGTGTTTTTTTAAAAAAATACTGATTTTGAAGAATGCATACGCATTTTTATTTTAAGTAAAAACACATTTCCTAGTCCCACTACAGGTAGCCCTCAACATATGATCACAATTGAGCCCAACATTTATGTTGCTAAGTGAGACATTTTGTTAAGTGAATTTTGCCTCATTTTACAAACTTTCTTGCCATGGTTGTTAAGTGAAGCACTGCAGTTGTTAAGTTAGTAACAAGGTTGTTAAATGAATCTGGCTTTCCCATTGCCTTTGCTTATCAGACGAAAGTGCAAAAGCTGATCATGTGACCCCCCCCCCCCCAAGATACTGCAACTGTCATAAATATGAGCCAAGCATCAGAATTTTGATCATGTGACAATGGGGATGCTACAGCAATTATATGGGTAAAAAACAGTCATAAGTCAAGTGCCAAGGTAACTTTGAATAGTCACTAAATGAACTGTCATAAGTCTAGGACTATCTGTATATTCTTAATAATATACTGATTATTTACAACAGCATGACCAATATTTTGGAAGCTTGAGTGCAGCAGTGGGAAGAAAAATAATGGCATGTGGATGGGACTATGTTATACACTTGGCCAGCATTAGATTTCCAGTTTTTCTTGGGCTTTCAAAGGTGTGGTTTTTTTTTTTAAAGCATGGGATGTATTAGTTTACACTAGTTTTTGTATCTGACTTTCCTCAAAACGGCAGGAAACGATGCTATAACTGATTTTCTGCACACTGCAGGTTATCTGGTACATCAGTAATATTTTTCCATTCAATATTGGGAAATAAAAATTGTGAAAACAGCACTGGTGTTTTATTTATAGCTAATTTTATTTATAGCTAATAGCCAGCACTGGTGTTTTATTTATAGCTAAAACCTCTTATAAAATAAAACTATGTAACTATCCAATAACAAAAAGAAAATTAAAGAAGACATAGTCCCCACATGATCACCATTTCTGAGCAGTGTATATTCAATCCATTCTTATATACTCGTGAAGCTAAGCAAAAACAACCCAAACAAACTAAGGCTTGCTAGTCCCAGGATAAAGATCAACTTTTTTCCCACCCTCATATATAAACTAGAATCCAAAAAAAAAAATCCAATCATGCAAATATCAAGAAAGCCCAGAAAATACTGTCCTACCTCAAATTACTTTAGCAATTTAATAATGACTGCAAACAACTATATCTAGAGAACTTATTTTAAAATCTAACTTAACCAAAGGATGAGGAAAACAGTACAAATTTTATAAGCAAAACTGAATTAAGAGTAGCCTTATTAAATAGTCAAAGTAAATGTGATAGACTATCAGCTGAGCAGACATCATAATCCTTTTCAGGCCTCCAAACGGCCACTTGATTGAATGCATTTACTACTTCTCTTTAGCCATGAATATCTGATGAAGTTTAACAATAAAGTATTGCTGCTTCTCACCAGGCAATAAAACTTAATGAATTGGTCTCAACTTAACAAAACCCTCCCCCCTCAATACAACTCCTAAAAGCCTGACATTACATTCAACAAAATGAGCTTACATTCTATTCAAACCATGCTCTGAACAATAAGCCCAGGTTTTTACTTAATGGAGTTTGTCATGAGTTCAGCTGTAATGTTTGTATTGTATCTATTTCCATAAGGATTGACACAAGAACACTTTGTGTTAACTTACTAAGCAGCTCTTTCACACCATTTACATGCATGATGAGTATTAATTCTAAACCAAGACCTTTGCTACTTAGCATTCAAAACTGGGAAATTAAGATGCTTAGGACAAAATACACTACAAAAGGCTAATACAACACACTGCTAATGGCTGTCCTTTCAACTATTATCCCCCTAAGTAGAAGCAACGCACCTGCAAAGGAATAATACTTCACTATTAGCTATATTTTGGGATATAGAGTAGGATGGAGTTCACCCTTTGCATATTTCATTCTTAACGCCTTGGTGCTATTAACATTCATATATATCAGCTTTATATTTCTAAGATTCTGTTGTGTAATTAATGTACATGGTTCTACAAATTTGCTTTCATCTTATGCAACTGATTAAAGTAGTGGAGAGAGGGCTAAAATACATTTTTCTAAACTAAATCTATGTGTGTAAAAATACAAGAAGGCTGCCTTTATTTAGCTGTATTAGAATTGCCAAAGTAACTCTTAGAAACTATTATAATAAAAACAGAAGGCCAAGAGATAAACACCAAGCTATTTTTAATATAACATTCTGTAGTACATTTTTATTCTACATGTTAAAAATCTTATTAGGTTCATGCAAGTCAGAATTGAATTTAAAAAGATAGCTCTTTCTTTTATAAGTTATATCCCGTCTTTCTGCTCACAAGGTTCTCTAGCCAAATATTGATACAGGTAAAATGCCACAAAAACAAGCCATTGTCAAAATTAACTCAGACTAATATTTATGGTCTTGGGAGCTTTATTTATTTATTTGTTTTTGCATCAACTGAAACACCTGGTCTGGGTTGCCAAAATTGTGAACCAGGAAAAGCAGTTCAATGTAAACACTGAGGTAATGTATTAACATAATTTCACAACTCCCCTCCCCCATATTAAAAATAAAACAATATATTTACAGCTCAGTTTTTCCCCAAATATTGTTAGCCTAAATTTATAATCTATCTTTATCTTAATTTTCAATCTCACAAAATATCAAAATACAAACTAAAATGTATCTAAATTACTATTATCCCCCTATATGGAAAACATCCCATAGGCATTCTGCCCATCTTCCTAGTTTTGTTACTCAAAGTAAAATAGAGCACCAACATATAAGTAAAAAGATTCCTGGGAAACTTTTTGAATTTTTGAGCCCAACAGTCTGCTTTAGTCCTGATGATTAAGGATATCAATATCAAATGATGAAAAGCAACAATGTTTTGGTCCTGATTAAAAGAGAGATGTAGCTTCCTACCCTAGAGTAAACCTAGCATTATTACATTCTTACAATACTCAGAAATGACCAACAATATAAAATAGCACTTGTGTTTAGAGCTGCCGTGTGGTAATTCTGAAGTGGCCCATGAGATCAGACAAATTATAGTTTTACATCAGTTCTATTTCAAACTAACAGATACAAATAAATACAACCATATAAGTGAGAATTTCTTCAGACGTATATACTTGAAGCATGAAATAATGTTAAGACTTCTGATGCGCATGCAATTTACTTGTATAAAGCAGATTTTCCAACAAAGGATGACAAATTCCTAGAAAGCTTGTTTAAATACTCATTAAACATTATTCCGAGTATAATAATAAAAGATATATGGATTGTGATAGTGAAAGAGTTTGAAAATAAACATGTGATCATAAAAAGCTGAAGAGTAGCATCCTTGGCACGTTTAGATGATTTCTGAATATCTGATTTTACCTCCACGCACTCGAAGTTCTCATTAACTTTTGATGTATAATCAACACGAAACAGCGTCGACAAGTTACCAGCGATGTAGTACAAAAGAATCTTCAGTCCCTTGTAACCAAATGCAACCTCACTGTAGGAGAAACACAAATTGAATTACTGAAACACCCTTTTACAGTTGAAAACTAGTAAATTTCTAAGAGAATTACCATACATCACAGTAATCCACAATTTGTTTTAATTAATTATAGTTTCTTGAGCAAGACAATCTTGTAGAGGAGAAATTGAGCTGTTTGGCCAACTTCTGATTTCAGAATTTTCATTTTAGTTGTTACCGCTTTGTACTTCTAGGGATTATTACTGGATTTGGTAGAGTATAAAAATGAACCAAAAATAACCCTGAAAACCATTAATATTTATATATCATTCCAAGTCACAGATGCAATTGACAAATAATTGTTTCAGATTGTGATTTATTCACCTAAAACAATTCAGCTAGAAACACAGAGCAAATCATTGCTGAGATGTGCAAACATAATTACAAAGATATTATTTCTCATTGAAATTACATTTCATTTGCAATAAGTAACTTAATTTAAAATAATTGTGCTCTTGTTTACCATGGATGCTTAAGCTACATTGAGGATTTTTTGTTAGTGCTGTTAACTTCCTAGAGTGAAATAGATTATGTTGGTGTACAAATTTAAACCATAAAGAAAAAGTGAGCGTTATTACATTAATAATAATTAAGCTCTAGCTTTATATGGATTTAAAAATCCCCATACCCAAAAGACATTAAGGTTCATATTTCTAAAATAGCAGCCTATTGTTCTGAAGGAGCTGTCAGATGTTATCTCAGAACCATTGTACCATATTAAAAAATCCCAGAGCACCAGGAAACTACCAGAGGAATGAAAAAGAGCTGATATGGTTCCCATCTTCAAAAAAGGAAGGAAGACAAAGAGATAAGTTATCAAGCTCACAATTACATGGCACCTTTTAAAGGACACTAGGTTCACTAAACTTGCTTTCAAATCACTTCCAGAAATTGCTTAATAATAAGAGATCTTTAGAACAAGTTTGAAGAGCCACTTGGTGAGTCAAATTCATTTCTGAACAAAAAAAAAATTAACACGTTTAAGAACTTAAAGAATATAAAATAAATGGCAAAAAGGTAAAGAAGATTTTAATCTAAGAAAGTTATACGATAGTATAAGCAATTTAAGGGGCCAGAGAAATTTGGAATATTGAAACTTTTAGTATAAGATTTTTTATTATCAACTATGTAAAATAAACAGATCAATATCAACAATGTCGGCAACAATATCTGCTTCTGTGGATAGACTGTTCAAAAGATGCTTATGAAAAAATGACAGATGTAAAACAAGTCATATTTGAGCAGAAATTTCTCCCAGAATATAAATTAACATAGGAATATTTATTTTGAGGCTATTCACCTTAAGAGTGAAGTTTAAATGATTCCCACTTATCCATATCTGAAGAAATCCTTATATATAGGAGTTATATTTTTCTATATACCCATACCTAAATATTTAATGGTTTGGGTACAAATATGGAACTGATATTCCTTAAACAGATGGATTTTGACCTACTGCAGTGATGGCTAACCTATGACACGCGTGTCACTCGTGACACGCCGAGACACTTTGACTGACACGCCTGTTGGTGTGGGGAAAACCTGCACATTTAGAGGCTGCCTGTGCTCTGCTCCAATCCCTGCTCCCTGCTTGTTGCGTGGAGGCGTGGTGTCACCGCTGCCGCAAGATCTTTGCAGCAGAGAACCAGTTTTAACCGCCATAAACTGAGGTTTGTCAGTTTCATTACCTCAGGAACGCTACAGGAGGAAAGGAGATCCATGAGGTTCACAGCCCTGTAAGGTGGCCTTCCGATCCCCACATCCTGCACCTGCAGCCCTGAGACCAGGGAGACGGGTTTCACAGCCCTGTGTGATCACCCCAGCCCAGTCCGTCATAAACCAAATTATTGATATTTCTTGAAGTGACACACGATCCGAGGAAGGCTACACTTTTTCGACACACCAAGTTTTTCGACACACCAAGCTGAAAAGGTTAGCCATCACTGACCTACTGGCATCAACCTCTGATTTGGACTACCTGATGGAATATCCTGCTATTTTATTAAAAGCATTTATCATTTGTATAAACACAGGAATACTAGTGTAATGTTTAGAATGTCATCTTCAAATAAAACCAATTTATGTTCAACTAAACATAGGAAAATTTATGGATAATTTTACCTCATTGTTTAATAATACAAGGCAATATTCTATACAAATAAAAAAGGAAAAAATGGGCATCCTTGTTTAGTTCCTCTAAATAATAGGAAAGTTGCAAAAAACAAACCATTAATCTTTAATTTAGATGTGACTCATATAGTATCTTGATCAATTTTATGAATTTAAAGGAAATCCACACTTATTTAACATAGCAAACATATATTATCGATATATTTGGTTGAAGATTTTTCATGTATAATGACAGGATTACAAATTGGTCATTGGTTCAGGTAGTCCTTGACTTACAAGTTCATTTAGTGACCGTTCAAAGTTACAACAGCACTGAAAAATGTGACTTATGACTGTTTTTCAGTTATGACCTTTGCAACATCCCCATGATCATGTAATCAAAATTCAGGCACTTGGCAACTGATTTAAGATGGTTGCAGTGTCCAGGGTCATCTTTTATGTCCTTCTGACAAGCAAAGTCAATGGAGAAGCCAGATTCATTTAGCAACCATGTTACTAACTTATCAACTGCAGTGATTCACTTCATGGTGGCAAGGTCATAAAATGGGGGCAAAACTCGCTTAACAAGTGTCTCGCTTAACAATAGAAATTTTGGGCTCAATTGTGGTCGTAAGTTGAGGACTCCCTGTATTCAAGTCTATTAAATCTACAACTTACTTAATAGTAATACCTGATGCTTGCCTGATTTTTATAAACCCTACTTGATCATTCTTAAAAATGAATGGTAACAATTGCCCTAATCCAGTGGTGGCTAATCTTTTTGAGCTCCTGTGCTAAAAATTGCATGCATGCTCACACGTGCGCGCCAGCACCCAGAAAGCAATGCCAAGGGCCCCCCCCATACCCCCTGTGCATTCGCACGCGATTCCCCCTGCGCTGGCGGCACCCCCTTACCTGCACTGCCTCCCAGCTGATTCTCGGCCTCCCAGAGGCTCGAGGGAAGCCTCTGCAGCTTTTGGAGGCCAAAAAAACAGGCCTGTTTCGTCACTTCTGGTATGAGGTAAGTTTGGCTGGGGCTCTGCGTGCCACCGGTGGCATGCGTGCCATAGGTTTACCATTACGGCCCTAATCTATTTGCTAACACTGCTGTTAAGATCTTCCTGTCAACATTAATCAATGCATTTGGATGATAATTAGCACATTAGGTATGATCTTTACCTGGATAAAGATTTAAGTATTACTGCAATATAAGCCTGATTACATGCATTTAGAATATTCTTTAAACAGATGGATTTTGACCTACTGCATCAATGGATTTTGACCTACTTTATCAAGTACCTTAAGGTACAATTGATAGTTTTCCCACCAAAAGATATATAAATATTATATAACTCTAAAGAATTATATCACTCTAAAGAAAACATAATTCTGGTGTCACCTGCAAGTGTATACAGTGTGCGTGTGTAAATATAAAAATGTAACTGTTTACTGTAACAAGATATTACACTTTATATTTTTCTGATGGATTTTTTCACTTATTTTTAAGCTTTTGCTTCAGTATTTTTGTGTTTTGTAATTTTCTTTAAAAAACAATAAAATTATTAAAAATACTAGTGATGAAGATTGGAAGTTACTTTTATCTATCTATCTATCTATCTATCTATCTATCTATCTATCTATCTATCATCTATCTATCTATATTTATCTATCAAACCTTTTTTTCTTTTGCTTTCTTCTTCTTTACCATTTACTCTCTTTTATTTTCCTTTCTTTCTAAATTTAGTTTGTATTATTGTAATTAAAATATTCAATAAATTGAAATTAAAAACTATTACAACTTTAGAAAATTACATCATCTTATAACACAGAAGCAATGCCAAGCATTCTATAGATCTTGACCACAGCGAATTATATGGCAAAAATAATTATAGATCCATATAAGTACACTGCTCAAAAAAATAAAGGGAACACAAAAATAAGACATCCTAGATCTGAATGAATGAAATATTCTTATTAAATACTTTGTTCATTACATAGTTGAATGTGCTGACAACATCACACAAAAATTATCAATGGAAATCAAATTAAGCAACCCATGGAGGTCTGGATTTGGAGTTACACTCAAAATTAAAGTGGAAAAAAGACTACAGGCTGATCCAACTTTGATGTAATGTCCTTAAAAGAAGTCAAAATGAGGCTCAGTAGTGTGTGTGTGTGGCCTCCACGTGCCTGTATGACCTCCCTACAATGCCTGGACATGCTCCTGATGAGGTGGCGGATGGTCTCCGGAGGGATCTCCTCCCACACCTGGACTAAAGCATCCCCCAACTCCTGGACAGTCTGTGGTGCAATGTGACATTGGTGGGTGGAGTGAGACATGATGTCCCAGATGTGCTCAATTGGATTCAGGTCTGGGGAACGGGCGGGCCAATCCATAGCATCAATGCCTTCGTCTTGCAGGAACTGCTGACACACTCCAGCCACATGAGGTCTAGCATTGTCTTGCATTAGGAGGAACCCAGGGCCAACTGCACCAGCATATGGTCTCACAAGGGGTCTGAGGACCTCATCTCGGTATCTAATGGCAGTCAGGCTACCTCTGGCAAGCACATGGAGGGCTGTGCAGCCCCCTAAAGAAATGCCACCCCACACCATTACTGACCCAGTGCCAAAGTGGTCATGCTGGAGGATGTTGCAGCAGCAGAACATTCTCCACGGCGTCTCCAGACCCTGTCACGTCTGTCACATGTGCTCAGTGTGAACCTGCTTTCATCTGTGAAGAGCACAGGGCGCCAGTGATGAATTTGGGAATCTTGGTGTTCTCTGGCAAATGCCAAACGTCCTGCACGGTGTTGGGCTGTAAGCACAACCCCCACCTGTGGACGTCGGGCCCTCATACCACCCTCATGGAGTCTGTTTCTGACCGTTTGAGCAGCCAAATGCACATTTGTGGTCCACTGGAGGTCATTTTGCAGGGCTCTGGCAGTGCTCCTCCTGTCCCTCCTTCCACAAAGGCAGAGGTAGTGGTCCTGATGCTGGGTTGTTGCCCTCCTACAGGCTCCTCCACGTCTCCTGATGTACTGGCCTGTCTCCTGGTAGCGCCTCCATGCTCTGGACACTACACTGACAGACACAGCAAGCCTTCTTACCACAGCTCGCATTGATGTGCCATCCTGGATGAGCTGCACTACCTGAGCCACTTGTGTGGGTTGTAGACTCCGTCTCATGCTACCACTAGAGTGACAGCACCGCCAGCATTCAAAAGTGACCAAACCATCAGCCAGAAAGCATAGAAACTGAGAAGGGGTCTGTGGTCACCACCTGCAGAACCACTCCTTTATTGGGGATGTCTTGCTAACTGCCTATGCTTTCCACCTGTTGTCTATTCCATTTGCACAACAGCATGTGACATTGATTATCAATCAGTGTTGCTACCTAAGTGGACAGTTTGATTTTACAGAAGTGTGATTGACTTGGAGATACATTGTGTTGTTTAAGTGCTCCCTTTATTTTTTTGAGCAGTGTATATTTATTGAAAGAACTGTGTGCAATTTAATAAACATTATTGTTAAATTTTATAGCATCAGTACAAAATCCAATACCTTAAAACTGTTTTTATAATATCTTGTTACTTACTCATCCCCAAAAACTTGATGGCTGAACTCTGGATGAAATGTTGTACTATCATCTTCCAAATCCTCTGGGAAGCGGACTAATGGGAAAAACAGTTGTTTGCATTTGAATAGCTAGCAGCGGTCTGCCAACACATTTTGGTTAATTTACAGAAATCGTATCAGTGGGAAGAGCAGTATAAAAAAGGGGAATATCTGTGCATATAGAGAGGCTATGCCACCATGTCTGAAATCTTATCTACTACCGAATTAATATTTTTCAATTCTTAAACTCACTCACCCCAAACCCACTTTTAATAGGATAGAGTCAACTACTTCAGTTGGCATCATTACAATTGAATTGTGATTATCTAGCAATCTGTAAAACTCCAGCATTCCTCATTAGGACATTACACTATATTTTGTCTGATTCCACCACTGGCAGAGTATAAGTGCGAATACACGCACAGCTTTCCACTACCACATCTTGGGAGAGGGAAGTCAAGAACCTTCTGTGTTGCTTTAGCCATACATTTTGAGAACACAGAATTGCTAAAGCCCCAATAAGTATGTGTTTTCTTCAGTTTCAAATACATGTCACATAGCAAGATTTTCTTTGTTACAGAAAATCGGTTTGACACTCTACTGCAGATATAGTCCATTAAATAATTAGATCCTGTACAATTTCTCAGATTGACATAATTACAATTTCTGATTCAAAATGTAGCGATATGGAAAACCATCTATTTTCCATTATCTTCTCCACAGTATTTTATGTTTTATCACATATATCTTTTAAACAGTCTTGAATTCCTAAGGCACCTTCACACATTGCCACTTCCATATCAAAAAGCAAAAACGTGTACACAAATCAACTGAATACAAGTAGTCCTTGTTTAGCAACCACTTGAAGTTATGACACTGCTGAACGAGGGATACATGACAAGCCTTATATTCCAGCACTGAGCAACCAGCTCAGAATTATTATGCTCACTGTATCCCGCAGTAATATAACCATAATAACCATTTGTAACCTTCACTCTGGCTTCTGATAGCAAGGCTTAATGATGGCGTTTCTGGTACTACTGGTAAGTGAGAACTAACTATACAAGACTAAGGAAATGTTTAAAATATCAGCAATTCCAAGATGAGGCTGGTGTTAGAGAAGACTGTGCAATAAATCTTACATTTCTAGCTTTGCTAATTAACCAACTTTCCTGAAGATGATTTTAACCAGAAGTGATTTTAAGCCTAGTTCTAACATCCATCTGATAGAAAATGTCTATTTCTCTGTTCAATAATCATCAAGATAACTTTCAAATATATTCAGCAAGAGATACTATATAAATCATTAAATAAGTAAAACAGGAACCATATTATTTTACTGTTATGGTAATTCTATAAATTCTATAAAGATGTATGTACATATGTACATATACATGAAAGACTACTGACATTTTGCTAGTCTTTAAAAAATCATTGTTTATCAAAAACTGCTGAAATAGTGGGTTACATCAGAACTATTTTTTTTACCTAATTTTAAATGAATTGCTTCATTTGTATTACACTTGTACTCAGCCAATTTCTTTTCCATAGCAGAGAGACCTAGGGAAAAGAATTTTAAATCAGTTTTTGCCACAATATAAAAAGCATTTAAACAAATATTTTAGCTTACATATTATTTTATTTTAAATAAAAGCAAGGCTATCAAGGAAACAAGCACCTTAAAAGATAGTCTAACAAGCACAACTCTTCACTATGATCTTATAGTTTATATGTCATGTTTGTATAAGTCCAAAAGAAATAAAATGTGTAGTCATGAAAATATGCCTAATCAAGTGGATTCTTGTTTTTCTTTCAGGCAGGGATCAAATTTCTTACTGTGAAAGTGTGCACTTTCTATTGGCTTGAGCGTCATATCAGCACAACATGTTGAGGGCTGTACCCCCAAAGTGGGTATTATTTTGAAAATGTCTATGGAGATTCTCAATCATCCAGATCCTGTTGTCTCAAAAGTGCTTTTTCAAAAAGCAACTGGACTATGTAAGAAGCTTCATCAGTTCTGGCTGGATAGTTAGGGACCAGCGGGGCAGGTGGTGGGGGGAATGGAAGGAACGAATGTCAGAATGAATTCTTCCATTCTCTTTTCCCAGCCAACTAGAACTGATAAAAGTTCTTGGATGATAAATGAAATGTCTTCTTCCTCAAGGGGAAAAACATAGTCCAGTTGCCTTTTGTTTTGAGAGCGGTTCAGTGCCTCTGAGGTAAAAGTGCATCAAGCATTAGGTCTAGATAGAATTGGACTTGGCTGGTTATACACTCAGTTCATCCCCAAAGAAAATTTAGGGTAATTCTTTGTTCCCTTCCTCAAAATCCAATTTGTGAACAGAATGAAACTTCAGAGGTCTTATCACAATTATAGGAAAATTCTTCAATTTTCTCTGGCTTCATATGCTGGCAATTATCAACTTTGGCAACCAATAATAGACACCATATTTTGAGGATCAATGCCACAAAGCAAGGGGCAAACTTTCCTCTCCAGATTCCTTACAGATGCATTGTACTTTTAGAAGCTCAACAAATTGGGAGAGATTATACTTTTACTTATGCATTTCAGGTTGGAGAAAGGTAGTTGTCCTTTCATTACTTTCTGTATATGGAAAGACAATTAAATAGAAGTTTACTGTAATACATTGTCTTCCTCGGTTGTTAGAAATCTTATGCCTAGACTGTGAAGACCACTTCATCTTGCACAGTTAACTCAGAATTTCAACCTCAGCAGTCACAAGTCTGTTCCACTACTGCTTTATTCCACAGTGAAATAAAGTAACTCAGGAACCTGAAGATTAACTATTTATATACTCATCTGATTTATTTATAATTCATCCTATATTGGGCTGGAAAATTGACATAAAATGTATTTGAACAAATCTCATCCTAGCATTTTTTCTGAATATTTAGTAATTCACAACTATATTATGCAATTGAGAATAGGATCTATTTTCAAGGACTGACAAAATAGCTACTGCTTCTATGAATAGTCCCTTAAAACAATGTTTCTCAAAATGTGGTCCTAGGCTCCCTGAGAGTATCCCCAAGATTGTCATGAGTCTGCAAATGTATTATTTGTCAGATATTGTTTTACATTTGCAAAAATGTAAAACAGTGGCACTTTTCTCATTACTATTTTTAATGTGTTAAAATAGTTTTTATGAAAAATATTTAATTGGTTTAACACATTATTTTGATACTCAATATTGTAGGAATGTGTCAATTTTAAGTTAATATGGTAAATATCAATAAACATAACCCATACAACAAAACCTTTTTTGGGACCCTCCAAAATGGTTTAAGAAACACTGCTTTAACACAATAACATTTGTAGCAATTAAGAAACAGAAGCATAATACTGACCCTTAATCTATGACCATATAGACCTTTAAGTGATAATGTCCTCTAGTTGTATTCTGTCTTGAAACTCTCTAGTTCAAATCTTTCCTCAGCACAGAAATTTACTAAACTATTCCAGAAATATGGCTACTTAACATCTCCTTGAAAACTTACAGCAAAGATACACAAACCACTACTCATTTGACTTTGTGTTGGAACAAATAGAATTTTGGAGTGTAGCCTTATTTAAGTTTGTGACATTTGCCATAACTTCACCCATGCCAGAAGTTTGTTATTTATGTTTCAGAGCAGCTTTCTGCACCATGGATTTCTCACAGGCTTTGGCCTACAATTCCCATTCTGACTAGCACAAAGCTGCAGCAGCTCAAAATATCTGGAAAGATACATGTCACTGCAAATTACATCTTTAGCTTTAATCACAGTGTTTTTTTTCCAACATTTTCTTCCTCTCTGTGAGAATGACGACAGAAACAAGGTAGAGGTGCAAATTCAGAGTTTTGGTGTTATATCCCAATGTTCCCATCACTCATTAATTGCTGGCTGCAGGAACTTTGCAACAGTCAGAGGTCATCACCCTAGAAAGATTTCATTTTTTTGCTCTAAAAGCACATCTTAGAATTATTGCAGATTCCATAAGCTTTTATGTTCACAAAAGAGACACAAACCAATGCCTAATGCTAGAACAGAATATATAATAAGTTTTAAAGAATACAAGCAAAAGAATTACAGGGCTTTTGAGGAATAGTTTTCCAAGTTACACTGAGGCACTGAGGTATTTGTTATCAAGTAGTTGTTTTTTTCTTCAATTTAATGACATTCAGATGTATTAAACTGCTAACCACCATAATGGATTGTGAGCGATAGTATGGGGAAAGCTGTGACTATGCTCTGATATTTTCAAACATGATACCCACATTTAGTGGTTATTTATTTGGGGAACCCTCTTCGTTTAGGATGATGTAATGGTCACAGCATAGTTGCCAATTTTGGACGTCTACTACTTTGCAACAGCTTAAAAGGCAGGGGCTTACACCAAGTTTATCCAAAGTGGTTGACATCAATCTCCAAGGGAAACAATCCAAGGGGTTGATGTTATAATTGATAGGACTATTAAAGTAATATTTTCACATGGAGGTCAACGAACAATCTGAAACTTCATGAAAGGGTCAATGAGTTGAAGACTTTGAGAACCCCGCTTTACATTAACCATGCAACCTAATTCTTTTCTAGTGGGCATATACTACAGTTAGTCCTTGACTTACTGACCACAATTGAGCCCAAAATTTCTGTTGTTATGTGAGAAATTTGTTAAGTGAGTTTTGCCCCATTTTACTTTTTTCGTCACCTTGTTCACTGAATCACTGCCATTGTTAAAGCTAGTCATACAGTTGTTAAATTAAATCGGGCTTCCCCGTTAACTTTGTCGGAGGGTTGCAAAAAGTGATAGCATGACCCTAGGACACTGCAACCAGTTGGCAAGCATCCTTTTTTTTTCATCCAAATTTTGATCATGGCACCATAGGGTCACTGCAAAGGTCGTTAACTGTGAAAAACGGTCCTAAGTCACTTTTTTCAGAGCTGTTGTAAGTTCGGTCACTAAATGAAATGTTGTAAGTCGAGGACTACCTGTACTAATCAACCTCATCCTACCACGGGTCCACTCTACTGGAATAACCCTGAAGGACCAAGCGCACCCCTTTCTCCTCCGAGCCGTTTGTGAACTAACTGGCCGTCATCTTCAAAGCGAGTTGAGAAGCAGCCACGAGCTGGAGGACGAGGCGGACTTTCCCCGTTTCCACCAGCGGGGACGTTTCTCCTTCCCAGCCCTTTCCCGCCCAGCAGAGCTTGCCGGGAGGGCAGGTTAGAGTCGAAACTCGGTGGGCTTCCCCGCTCATCGTCTGCCGGACTCTGGCTTGGAAACCTCCCTCGCCGAGAGTGCACCGAGCGGACACCGGAGAGCCGGGTCTCCAACCCGCCCCGTTTATCCGCCCGGAGGGACCCTCCTTACCCGCCATTTCCCAAACGGCGGCGGCCTCGGCGCCAGCAAAGCCAACAGACCCAGCCTAATTGAGCGAATCAAGCCGCGCGCCCACACGCCGGAAATGACATACTCGGGTGGGGGAGGGGGGGAGGGGAAAGGAATTGCCCTTCCGCTCGTTCGGCGCTGAAGGGACGGGAGCGACGGCCGCGCTTTTCCACACGCATGCGCAATTTGGACGTTCCCTTCCCCTCCCTGTGATTGCTGGCCTTCCCTTAAAGCAGGGATTTCCCCAAACTTGGCAACTTTAAGACTTGTGGACTTCAACTCCCAGCTATGCTGGCTGGAGAATTCTGGGAGTTGAAGTCCACAAGTCTTAAAGTTGCCAAGTTTGCGCCTCGGGATAGCCCCGCCCAACTCGATCTTTCAGCCAGTCTTTTTCCGTGGAAATTTCCAGCGCCAGAACTTGACATTTTTCGTACTTCTCGTACGGCTTCTCCGTCGCTCTAGTAGTGACACCTTCTTATTTTATACCGTAAAGTTTGGGTGAGCTATAAATACGATACATGCCTGCGGGGATTCTCAGACATCCAGGTCATGGTTGTCCCAAAGGTGCTTCCCTTCCCCCCCCCCCCCATATTCAACTGGACTTTCTGGTCTTTAAATTTAAATATACATCTATAAATACGGCAACACAAATTGCAAAATGAAGGAATTCTATGGATGTGCATGCATGTATATACTGTAAGGTTCGGCGATGCGCTTAAGCCACCAATGAGCCAAAAGAAGTTAAGCGGGGGCTTGAGAAAGAATCAGCGTTTAATCTGATCGAAGCAAAGAGCTGGGTGAACCCTTCCAAACATATACAAAAGAGGCATGTAAGGAAGGCCACACCTTGGGGGAAGGTATGGTGTCCTTTTATACTTTCAGAGACATCAGCGTAGTACCCAATTCTGCCCCCCTGGCCCATGCCTTCCTTGTGGCCCTGCATTGGCCTTGGGTGCTTAGCAACACAGGTATTTTGCCCAGTGTAACCCTGCCAAGCTATGATGTATTCTGTTCCAGATACAGAGTTATACAAAAAAACAAGATTGCAGGTATTATTTATTTTTATTTATTTATTTATTTGATTTGCCAATTGTTTACAAGATAATAAGTATAAATGTATACATAGTTGTATGTATACATGAAATGAAATACATGAAAGTTGTATGTATACATGAAATGGGTACATATAAGAAAAATAAAAGAATAGGAGAAACAATAGGACAGGGACGGTAGGCACGTTGGTGCGCTTATGCACGCCCCCTATTAGATCACTGGTAGAAGCAAATGGCAGAGGCAATTCTAATTCTTACAGAAGCAAAATAGTTATTATTATGTCCCGCTAATTTTACCTATTCTACTATTATGTCCCTTCAATACTTATGTATGCTTGGTGTGGTCCTGATTTCCTCTGGGTTATTTAACTTAACTGTTTGAAGTTACAACAGCACTGGAAAAAGTGACTTATGGCTGTTTTTCACACTTATAACCATTGCAGCATCTTCATGGTCACATGATCAAAATTCAGATGCTTGGCAACTGATTCATATTTATGACAGTTGCATTGTCTTGGGGTCTTGTGATCCTCTTGCGATCTTCTGCCAAGCAAAATCAATGGGGAAGCCAGATTCACTTATGTCCCTTCAATACTTATGTATACTCGTAGAATTGTAGAATCCTGTTATTAATTTAACAACTGCAGTGATTCACTTTAACAACTGTGGCGAGAAAGGTTGTTAAATGGGGCAAAAGGCACTTAACAAATGTCTCACTTAGCAACAGAAATGTTGGGCTCAATTGTGGTCATAAGTTGAGAGCTACCTATTATGACAAATCAACTGGTAAGGGATTGTAGGTCTAGGGCAGGGGTCTTCAACTCGACAACTTTAAGACTTGTGGACTTCAACTCCCAGAATTCCTCCTCCAGTCATGTTAGCTCAGGAATTTTGTGAGTTGAAACCCACAAGTCTTAATCTTGCCAAGTTTGAAGATCCTTGCTCTAGGTATTGCCCTTGATAATGCTCAGCTGTGTTTTCCTCCATTAGGTGAAGTTTTTAGAACAGTTGACTCACATTTTAGTGGCTCACACTCCTGCACGTATGAAAAGTAAAATATAGTTTTCACCAGGTGGCTGGCTGGAGATGCCCAGTTACAGGTATCAACATTAACATTTTCAATTTCATTGTATACATGTTGTGCATTGACAATAAATGTTTGATTGATTGATCCAGAATTCCTCAGAGAGGAGATGTTAATTGTGTCAGCAATCCATACTCACCCAGCTTTGAAGCTAAGCAGCATAGTCTGATAAACTGTCCAAGGCCAGGAAAAACAAACGACAGAATTAAACTCTCATATTCATAGAAAACATGTTTTAGTGACTTCTTTTTACTGTGTAATAAAGATTGCTATCTAACAATGCCTTAAACTGAATATGAATCTAGAGTCGAGGCAAGTCATGCTGAGTCAAATGTCTGGGAAATCTTAATGACCCTGTCATTTTTGATAGTCCTTATCTTCCATTACTATTCAAATATTACTTTAGATTGTGAATAATGGCTGCCAACTTCCTGGGAACTATTATTAGCTGTTGATTAAGTTGTAAACATCAATATTAGACTCAGAAAGCTATCAAAGTGAACCAACTAGCTCAGACCATGGATCAATTAACCCGAAAGAGCAGATAAAATTAGCTAACTCCATAAGAGGTGAGTCACCCACTGTGGGAGCACAAGCTTATTCTGCAGCTGTTACCAGGGCAGTTACCACTGTTATTCTTACAGCCCTCAATATCAAAAGTTTGCTTTGTTGCCAGACAAATACATACAAGAATCGCAACAAATTTACAGCCCTTGTTCCTTTTTTGCCTGCAATTAGATTAAAATCTCTTGTCCAAAAAGTCCCACACACATGTAATTGAATGACATGAAATCATTGTTGCGATTATGGTGTGGGTACAGAAATCTGCAGAGATAACTGTCAACCATCATTTAGTAACCCCAATATATTTGGTGGGGAAAGGAGCACAAGGCAGCCAAAAGGAAAGAACATAATCATTTGCTGTATGAAATTCAATGATGGACAGAAATGTTTCGGTAGACAAATGAGGAGGAAGATCCAAATTTACTGCTTTCCTTAATCAAGGTAAACTATAGAACTCCCTGAGATAAGAAAAGACTTTCTCAAGAGATCAGATTTGGATAGGTTTTGTGATAAATCTAATTGCTGATAAGACTGAGGAAGCTGCAAAGTAGATAACCTTTGATCAAGGCTAATCCAAATTTGGGCAACTGCTAATTTTGTAACAGTTGAGAGCTAACTTCAAGGATTTTTTTAAATTTAAGCCATCCATGAAATTGCTACCTAGAAGAGAGTAGGACTTCAGTGCAGGAATTAGAATTCAATTAGAATTGAAGAGTTGCGAACTATCCATTGCTAGCTATCATCCCGGTTTCCTTGCAAACTCAGACTGGAACCAGAACATAACTTTTTAATTTTTTTAATCAATTTTATTTGCCACTTATCTTGTGGTTCAGACAACCCTGAGCTGCTTAGCCCTTAACAGATTCTTCACAGTAAGCTTCATTATAGAATACAAATATATTTTCTTTAACATAAATTGGGGGGAGGGGAGATTTGAAGTAATGTGCAGCAATTTTGGCAGCTTCCTACATGGAAAGTGATCCATTTCCCTCACACTTTCTTAGACTGTTAGAAAGAGAACAATAAATTTTCTGGAAGGATTAATGGAGAGGGGGAAAAAAGGCCATTTCTAAGCAGCCTTGACAAAATCTAAGTAGGTTTTTTTTTCAGATGTTGTGCTACCATAAGTTCAGAAAAATCAGAGGATGTAACAGTCCAACTGGTTCCGAGGTTAAAGGCTTAGGACATTAGCAAATGTGACAAGAAGTGAGGTAAGACTTTATGAGGTAAGACTCTCTCAAATCTCTGATGAAAGGGTACCAAAAACGTTGGAGCAAAAGGTGCATTTTTAAAAAAAAATCCAAAATGACCAACAGTTTTATTGTCAAAAGACGATATAACTTTTCTTCCCTGAGGGAAGCCATTTTAATGCAATTCCCCCTGTCCCAAGAAAAGGACAAAATATCCAGAATGCTCTCCTGAAAATCATATCCTCAAACACATATAGTGGATTTTGCTGTTCCAAGTCTGGTTGTTTATAAACTCTTTTTTAAAGGGATTCCCTGCCCCCAAAGTGTCAATAGTTGAGGTCAATATAGGCTGAGAAGTGGAAAAATACTATAGTTGCGTAATCATGGCCCCAAGCATTTCGTAAGGACTAAATTTATGTCCACATTTCCAACTGAAAATACCTGTGCGTTTCTGCACAAAGTACATGGTCTCAGGTTGCACACAGGCCAGCATACCTAAGACAGAAAGTCTTTAAAGGCTGACTCTCTCATACCCAGGGAAAGGCTGAAATGGTGGTACAGTATTGGTGTATGAAGATTTGGAAAACAGTTTGAAGTTTCCAGGGAATCACAGGTCCAGAGAAAAATATACATAGATTTATGTTGTAGTGTTCAGGGAGGACAAACCTCCACACACAGAATTCTACAGCAGAGCATTGAAGCAGCAGCTGAGACACACGGTGGGTCATTTAGGCTGAAGCAGTGCCAAAGAACTGAAGGCCACCAAAGCAGAGGTTAGTTAAAGCTTCATAGGGAGAAGTTGGGAGAAGAACTGAACTTGGTTTGGTATCCAAAAAGCTGAGACAAGTGAAGAACAGCAGTGCAAACAAGAACCAATTGCTGACCCCATGCAGGAATAGCCCCAAAATCAACCAGCCAATGAAACAGTCAAACCTATTAGCAGCTACTTGTAATAAAGGGTGGTAGAAACAAACTCTTCTGGACAAACTCCTCTGGACTTAATCTTGGTGGAGGAACGGATCTGCAAGAATTAGTAGGTATAGTAGGAGAACAGGAGACTAATTTCAACACCCAGTAGCAAGGAATTCCAGTAGAAAGGAAGGAACCATCCCACTGCTAACCACCACAGTAGACATAAACAGAAAATGCTAAACTACTCTCTACATCAGGGGTCGCCAACGTTTTGGACCTCAGGGA